CGGCTCTATTAACACGTATGGTTGATATGGCTAGGAGCCGATCTTAATGGCGTGTGTTGAGTTTCTTTGTCCTTCTCTCTTCCTCTTAGCGTCCCATTCAACCACGATATCAATCCATATGCAAAATGTAATACTTCCTTTTGCGGCACAATAGCCGGAACAATCTCCATCCGTTACTGGTGGCTCAGCCAGTGCGCCTTTTTGCCTTTTTTCTTTTCTTATGTATTGCGGTACAATAGCTGAGGCGTTTTCCGCCTCTTGCTAACGTGTATAATGATGAATGATGAAGTGGTTTTCCACAGAGGTCAGTTCTCCTTTTACTGCTTACCTTACATGTTAACGACCCCCTTGTGGAGCTTAAGGTACCATCTTTCATCGTTGCAAGCAACTTAACATCTTGGTGCACAGTGCTCGATTCTGATTGTCCTTTGGCTCTTAACCAGCTTTGGGTGTGGTCAGATTTAGGTAGTTAACAATAAATGTTATCGGGTTTTCAGTTCTGTGCGCAGGATCAAGAATATCCTCAACTCATTATCTGCTTGGTGGGAATGCAATACGGCATGTGACCTTGCAAATTCATTTAGGCATTTCTCTGTCATCAAACTTCAAATCCCGCGTGAGCTGGACGACTGCTGTTCGCAAGGGTCTCCTGATGCTGTAAATGATACTCAGGTCGTTCGGGCTCATAACAACTGAAATGCTTATATTTATTCTCAGCTTTCGTTAGGTCATAATTGGAATACAGCATGCAGGCTTGTCCTCCCCATCGCAATGATGCTGGACCTTACCGTGGTGCGATGGTTTGTGTGCCTCAGTGATCCATTGAGCTATACTGGGTGGTGCTTTTGCGCCTTCAGAGCCACTCATACCAGATTGGTCAATGGTTAGAGGCCAGACAAACTCAGCCTCCTGGTCCTCCAGGTTGGGGGTTGGAATGAGGGTGGCTCCTTATTCCTTAAAACGGACTCCTTGTAGTCCAGTGCCAGCCAAAGGCTCGGGGTGGTGTCCCCTAAGTCAACACCCTACTTCGGCTTGGGCAACCGGGTAGTATCTCGCCCTCTGAGGAAACCATGGACGTTGTTGTGTTGTGTTTTATTTTACTATTTCTGTACTTTCGTTTGAATCCCATGGTTTCTGATGGCATTATGTCTATTCGTAGACTTTTGCAAATATAAATATATAGTGCCAAACTCGCTGCCTTGCGGCCAGGTTTTTGAACCAAGGCTTTGGTTGAGAACCCTAATCGTTCTCCTGTCTAGGCCTGGGCAACCTGACAGTATCCTGCCCACGCAATACAATGAATCGCACTTCAAACAAATTGCTGATGCTCTGGCCACCGCAGAGGATAATCAACGGTGCCCTATCTGCTGCATCGAGCAGGGTGGATAGGGGTTTGGATGCTACTGCTCAGGCCTTCCCGTCTTCTTATTCCCCTTCTCGCGCTTTTTCACTCTTATCGTCCCGTTCCAGCTTTACTTTTATCCCCCTGTTTTCAACCCCCCAATTCTCGGCCCTCCCCCACCTTGCTTCAATAGTCGCTTGTCTTTTAGTTTCAACTCGCAGGTGAACGCAGAGCGTCATTCCTGCACTGTCAACAGGCCCATGTCCAAGCAAGCGGTCCATTCCAGTTCATCGGCTTCCATTTGGAGCCCTCGATCCTCCTTCAGATTGGCATGCCTCAATGTTCGCACATTGCTTCAGATTGGTCAACAGGCGGCACTTGCCCGAACATTAGAGACCCTCTCGATCGATATCTGCTGCTTATCGGAGACCCGCCTGCAAGACTCGAGCTCTGCACTCACTCTGCGATCCCCTTCAGGTGACACTAGCAGCACTTTCTCATTGCGCCTATCCGGTGACGATGCAGCTTCGAGCACCGGCCAAGCCGGTGTTGGTATTGCCCTGAGTCCCCGGGCTGAAACTGCTCTGGTTGATTGGATTCCAATCAGTAGCCGGATGTGTGCGGTCCGATTGGCTGGCCCGTTCAAAACTTCGAAGTCGCGCGGGACTAACAGGTGTCTATTCGTTATCGCTGCCTATGCACCGACAAACTGTAGCGATGACTCGGTAAAAGACGACTTCTATCGCCAACTGACCCAGCTCCTTCGCCACAGACGAAGCTCGGACACTGTAGTGCTGGCTGGGGATCTGAACGCTCAAGTTGGAAAATTATCCGCAGATGAGCTGCATCCGGGCGGCCAACATGGTATAGGCTCCCGTAATGATAACGGTGAGCGGTTACTTCATTTGTGTGAGGATGCTCGCTTATTTCTTGCGAGCACTAATTTCCGACACAGCACCCGCCGAAGGGTGACTTGGCGCCCACCAGCCTCGAACCAGCTATGGACGCAAATCGATCACATTGCTATCAGTTACCGCTGGAGAGGATGCGTCCAGAACTGTCGCTCGATTTGGAGCACAGGTGTTGACACCGATCATGCACTTGTATGTGCTGACCTGCGGATGCGCTTTGGCGGACGCCCGCGACGATGTTGTGAGCGCATTGACACCGGCAGACTGGTGAATCCAGCTGTTCTGAACGCCTATTAAATTACGCTGTCATCCGAGTTGGATAAACGCTCACTGGATGCAATTGAAACTCACTGGTCTCATATGCAACAGGCCTTACTAGCAGCAGGCAAATCCTCATGTGGTATGTCTAATCGCCAACATGAACATTGGGTCTCTTCACAGTCTTTGGAACTTATAGATGCTCGCCGGCATATTCCGGCTTGAAGCGAACACAATGAAACTCGCAAAGAGCTCCGGGCAAAACTCCGTGCTAGCCTGAAGAGAGACCGCGAATCCTGGTTGTCTCGTCGTGCAACAGAGATGGAAATGGCCGCTGCCCTTGGTAGCTATCGTGAGTTATTCCGTCTTGTACGGGAAACGGGCAGCAGGAGACCTGGTGTTAGTGAAACTATACGTGATGAGAGTGGACAGCCCATCCACAATTTATCAAAACGCCTGGAACGTTAGGCTGAGCACTTTGAAAGGCAATTTAATCGGTCGGAATTGTTAAATTTCTCGCCGACCAGTGATCGCCCTGCTCCGTGGGCTGTTCCTTTGGATCCACCCTCTCGCTCAGAAGTCGAACATGAGATCAAACTGTTGAAGTTAAATAAAGCCGCGGGACCTGATGACCTTCCTCCAGCCCTTTTCAAATTCGGGGGACCTGCTCTTGTGGATGATTTACACGAGTTACTAGTGAGACTGTGGGAGCAGGAAACTGTCCCAACCGATTAGAGCCGCTCCATTATAGTCCCAATTTTCAAAGGAGGCTCACGATCGGAATGCGGCAGCCATAGAGGAATCAGTCTGATCTCCATCGCCTCCAAATTGCTTGCCTCTGTCATCCCTCACAGACTGACTGGCACTCGTGAAAGCCAGATTCGTGAAGAGCAAGCTGGATTTCGTCGAGGTCGTAGCTGCATTGACCACATCTTCACCTTGCGTCAGTTGTTGGAGCACCGTCACGTATACTGGCGGCCCACCGTTGTCGTGTTCCTCGATATCAAAGGTGCATTCGATTCGGTGGATAGACATGCACTTTGGGACTGTCTACTCAGGAAAGGTGTACCTGAGAAATATGTGAATATTATCCGAGCATTATACGCTCGTAGCTCGGGCAGAGTGAGGGCTTACGGCAAGTTGTCGTCGCCCTTTAATATCTCCAGCGGCTTGAGACAAGGATGCCCGCTGTCACCTTTTCTCTTCAACTTCGCTATTGACGAAGTCATGAAAATCGCGTTCACAGGACACGACTTGGAAGGTGTGGAGCTACTTCCAGGAGAACCACTTCTTGATTTAGAGTATGCTGATGATATTGCCCTCATCTGTGACAGCTCCCAGACGTGCCAACCTGCACTGGACAGATTAACACTAGCTGTCCGTCACTTCGGGCTTTGCTTCGCACCCTCGAAGTGCAAAGCGTTTCTCCAAGATTGGTCTGGACCGCCTCCTACGCTGACCCTTGGTGGGGATCAGCTAGAAGTCGTTCAAAAATTCAACTACCTGGGAAGTTGTATCAGCGCCTGTGGGATTGAAGATGAAATCACGAATCGTATAGCAAAAGCTCGGGGCGCTTTTGCTAACCTTCGCCACTTATGGCGCCGGCGCGAGATCACTCTTGCCCTGTAGGGTAGAGTGTACAATGCAGCAGTACGTTCGACCCTATTGTACGGTTGTGAAACCTGGCCGCTTAAAGCAGCGGACCTGAAGAGGCTAGTTACGTTCGACCACCGGTGCCTTCGTAATTTAGCTCACGTTTGGTGGGAACACCGCGTGAGTAACGAGCGTCTTCGACGCCTTGTTTATGGCACAGGAAAAGGAACTGAACCGCTCAGCACCGTTATTTCACGCATCAGGCTCCGATGGCTCGGCCACGTGTTACGCATGCCAGCCCACCGACTTCCGCAACGTGTGTTGTTTGCGCGCCGTGCGTGTGGATGGAAGAAGAGGAGGGGTGGCCAAGCGATGACTTGGTCCAGAGGAACGAAGACCCTCACTTCGGAGCTGGCCTCGGTTGGAGCGTCTCGGCTCCCTGGTTGGGGTCCGAAAGACGATGAACACGTTTGGTTGGACACACTTGCTGATATGGCTAGGAGCCGACCTCAGTGGCGTTCGTGCTGTGAGTTTCTTTGTCCCACCCCATCGCTCTTAGCCTCCCCCTCCAACCCATTACTTAGCCTTATATAATTTTGCATAATAATTTTTTTGGGTGCACAGCAGCCGGCTGGTAGCTTACCGGTACGATGCCCATCCGTTACCGGTAGCTCAGCCTGCTTTCACCAGTTGTTTTTTCTCCCTCCTTTTTTCTTTGTATTGCGGCACAGTAGCTGAGGTGTTTCCCACCTCTAGCTAACGTGTGTGATGATGATGATGATGGCTTGTCCTCCGTGTTTGCTCCTCGACGAGATGGTATTTGAGGGCGCCTTGAAAATTGTTACGAAAATGGTCCATAGGTAAAGGTTGTATGATTCGAGGAGTTGAGATGAAGATCAAATGAGGGTGCATGATGATTGAGCGTGGAGTGCTAGGAGTATGGATGCAAGGTCCGTGAGGGGTGGGTAGGGTGATGATGGTGGAGTGGTGGCTCGTAGGACTGAATCCGCCAGTGGCCACTGACTTCTGGGCCATCGAGGCATGAGTGAGTGAGGATGACTGAGAAGATGAGGTGAAGATGAGGATGATGATGATGATGATGATGATGATGATGATGATGATGATGATGATGATGATGATGATGATGAGATGATGATGATGATGATGATGATGATGATGATGATGATGATGAAGATTGATGACATGCTGGATGAAGATGATGCTGCTAGACTGATGATGATGCTGATGAAGACGAAGACCGCCGACAAGATGACCTGCATGCATGAAGATGCAGAAGATTAGACGCACGATTAGCTCGCAGTGACGTGCATGCATGCTGCATGACTCATCATCATCATCATCATCATCATCATCATCATCATCATCATCATCATCATCATCATCATCATCATCATCATCATCATCATCATCATCATCATCATCATCATCATCATCATCATCATCATCATCATCATCATCATCATCATCATCATCATCATCATCATCATCATCATCATCATCATCATCATCATCATCATCATCATCATCATCATCATCATCATCATCATCATCATCATCATCATCATCATCATCATCATCATCATCATCATCATCATCATCATCATCATCATCATCATCATCATCATCATCATCTCATCATCATCATCATCATCATCATCATCATCATCATCATCATCATCATCATCATCATCATCATCATCATCATCATCATCATCATCATCATCATCATCATCATCATCATCATCATCATCATCATCATCATCATCATCATCATCATCATCATCATCATCATCATCATCATCATCATCATCATCATCATCATCATCATCATCATCATCATCATCATCATCATCATCATCATCATCATCATCATCATCATCATCATCATCATCATCATCATCATCATCATCATCATCATCATCATCATCATCATCATCATCATCATCATCATCATCATCATCATCATCATCATCATCATCATCATCTCATCATCATCATCATCATCATCATCATCATCATCATCATCATCATCATCATCATCATCATCATCATCATCATCATCATCATCATCATCATCATCATCATCATCATCATCATCATCATCATCATCATCATCATCATCATCATCATCATCATCATCATCATCATCATCATCATCATCATCATCATCTCATCATCATCATCATCATCATCATCATCATCATCATCATCATCATCATCATCATCATCATCATCATCGTTTCATCATCATCATCATCATCTACCACATCATTATC